AGCGGTTCAGATGATCTTCCACATGAAAGTATTTTGCCGCACCTCTCAAGGCGGGTGTTCTTCTCCATCGTCTATACAGTTCTGATCATGTAGTTTGTAGCAGCACCTTGTTTCTGATAAAGCCTAATAAAAGATTGGTATTTGGGGCTGTTTTTCTGGAAGCATATCACAGAATTTGATTTGTAATGATCCGTGTGGCGTGCTTGGAAAATAATCATTAAAAACAGGGAAGGCTGGAAGCCAGTAATTTATCACCACAAGGTGGAATGCCATGTGTGCAAAACTCAGGAGAAAATAAAGAGTCCGTAAGTAATGGTTCTCTCCTTGGAAGAGAGAGCTTATTGTATTGAAAATACTAGTAAAATAGTCTTGTAGCTTGTACTGGTACAAAGAAGAAAGCAGACTTTGCACCTACTTGCCATTTTGCTGTCATTATGCCCCCAGATTGCTTCATCCTGTGCATGAAAGTGTTTTCAGATGATCTTGAAGCAGTGCTTGAAAAGAACATGCACTGAAGTGGCTGCATTGACAGGAGAGAAAGGAAGTCTGTAGCATATCCACAAAACAAGAAATAAAAAAATATTTTTTGTGCACTCAGTTACTTATCCAGTAACAAAAGTTACTGGGTAACCTTTTGGTGCCAGGGTGGGCTTTCTCTCAGCAGTTACTGCCTTTAATTTTTTCCCTAAAAGTAATTTGTTGCACTCTTTTAGGACCTTAAAAGATCGTAAAGCACTTAAGGTTGTAGTGATGTAAGCCTGTGATGAAATGATGCTGTGAGGCAAACTAGAAATAAAAAAAAAAAAAAAAAAGAAAAAACAAACCAAACCAAGACAATTCCTGTTATACCAAATGAAGAAGAGGGCACACACAAAAAAAAAGTGTTGACTGTCCAAGATGCCAGGGAAACAGGGAAAGCCATGGCACAGGTAAAATCAAACTTTACACCATTTGTCCCTCCTAAAAGCTAACGCAGTTCATTCCACTTGCTCCAAGGCAGGATCAGCATTATCTAAACTGCCCTTGATGGATATTTGCATAACTTGTTAAAACTCTCTGGGGACAGGAATTACTTTCAGTGATTCTTTCATGACTTAACCATCTTTTGTGCCATCCTGATGTTCAAGCTGAAGTCATTATAGAGGAAATTTGCACAACTATCTTTAAAGCAAGATCTGAGAAAAAAAATGCAGTTTAGATAATGGCACTGTACCTAGCGATTTCTGGCTACTTCACCAAATATGGACAGTACTGTAAATAAGATGTGCCGTAAAATAAGGGAGGATGGAGACAATAAATCAAAATATAATCAGACATTAGGTTTTAGAATGCCTTAAGATGTAAGACCATGTGTTTTTTTCATTCAGACAGCCCAGTCCTTCAGTGTTTAGTATTTTGGATTTTTTTAAATCTGTCATGTGAGATCTCACATGGTCCAGTCTGTTCAGGTTGGACATTAAAGGTGGTGTGGCACTTTTGAAAAAAGCAGAGTGGTTTCCATGGAGCCCTGTCCTGAGCCTCACCATATTTGTCTTCCATGTTGGGTACCAGATGTGTCCCTGGCTACTAGACTTGCATGTTAGACAGTGCTGAATAATTCATGTTTATGTATGAAGTAAAATCTTGTGCTTCCTCGTCGGGTGGACAGCCTATTTACACATGAGGGAGGGTGGGATTTGACCCATATTTGATAAAGCCGTTTGGGATTATTTCATGTCGGATTAAATGTATGTACAATATGTTGTATCATTAGTAACTTTGCCAAGGGATTTTATACTGTGCTGTAATTTCTAATGGGACTTTTTTTTTTGTTTCAGTCTGACGCAAATGCAAGTTACCTGAGAGCCGCTCGAGCCGGCAACTTGGAAAAGGCTCTTGACTACTTAAAAAATGGAGTGGACATCAACATTTCAAATCAGGTTAAAAAATAATCTGATCAGATTCACTGGATAAATACCTTTCTCACTATTTCTCTAATATCTCTTTATATTTGCATTTCATATCAATGATAACTTTAATGTTTTTTGATGAGCCATATTTATCTATTAAAACGTTTTTGGGGTTTTTTTACCCTTTACCAAGACACCATTTCACAATATTTTGCTCTTTAATGTTATCTTTCATTCCATTTGTATTACATCAGATCATGGGACAACACAAAAAACTTGAGACCCCAGAGCTAGTATATCCTGACTTAATTCATACTCTTGCCTTATAATACAGTTCTTGTAAAGTTTATGTAAGAGTAGTTTTTGGAAACAGTCCTCTCACTGGGATATAATAATTTGTCTCCTGATATATTTGCTAAGCTGAAAAAACCTTTGTCAGTCTTTCCCATTGTTTTTCTTTTTTCTATCTGTTTTAATCAGAATGGGTTGAATGCTCTCCATCTCGCTTCCAAAGAAGGACACGTAGAAGTTGTCTCTGAACTGATACAGCGAGGTGCCAGTGTGGATGCAGCAACAAAGGTCAGTCAGGCCTATCTAATAGTTCTCTTGTTCACAGTGATGGCATGGGCACAAAGTGTCATCCAACTGATTGCAGCAGACATTACTGCAGCAGTAATTGCCCATTTTCCACTGGTGTAGTTTTCTTCGATAATTATCTAATAGAAACATTTTAGATTTCAGTAAATGTCACAGGTTACAAGGGATGAGATTTACTGAACAAATTGTAAATTCCTATCTTTGTTTCTGTCCGTGTCTTCTAGAATAACTTACCCATTAGAAGTATCCCGTAAAAGTATTTTTTGTTGCAAGAAATCTTATGTTTTTAAGTAGAATATGTTCTTGGTAGTATTGTCATGTATTCAGATTCAGGTTTTGTACGCTTTTCAAATATCACTGTCTCTCATTTCAGAAAGGAAACACAGCATTGCACATAGCATCCCTCGCTGGACAAGCAGAAGTAGTCAAAGTCTTGGTTACAAATCGGGCCAATGTCAATGCACAGTCTCAGGTAAAGTAATATTTTTCTGGTACTATCAAAAACTTTGCTGACATTAAAAACATTCTTCCCTTATAAACTATAATGTTAGTAAGTATATGTTGTAGATCTCATCATGTTAATGCTGGCTTTTGAAAACTGGGTTTGTTGGAGTCAGTAAAATGAATATAATCCTGTGAACATATTAAAAACATTCTTTTTTTGGCTGTTCCACACAGGTATGTAACTGATAAACAGGTGCAAAGAAAAAGTTTAAACACACAGCTGCCATTTTATTACTGAAGCCAGCATTTTAGTGAGTTTAGTGCTGAGTTAATTCTCACCTTGTAACTCAACATATGATTAAAACTTTAAATAATTCCAGCCCTCCCTCTTCTGCCCTACCGTTTGCCATGTGGTCAGAGTGTACCAAGAGGCATCATGGACATATCAAGTCTTGTCTTGCCCTGTAAGCATGACAGCGCAGTGAAATCCTGGGTTGTATCTGGGTCTTTTCCCACATACAATGTCAACTATCAGTTGAGATTAACTGAGTTGCCCACCTCATTCATCAACAGAGTAAACATGGTTTAAGTTGTCTAGAAGCCACACAGATGCACACCTTTGGTGATGAAGAATGTGGAGGCACATCCAGGAGCAATTGCAAAATACTGGATGTGGTTGTGTAAGAGGCAGCACAGGAAAGCATGTAACCTTGAGCCTTAGATCTACCCTCCAGTGTCCTACCAGCTGCTAATTGTTACAGTCAGAAGAGATACTGTTATAACAGGAGTGTGGGAAAGAACTTTTTCAAATGAAGGGGATCTTGTTTCACATAATTCAGTGTCTCAGGCGTAATGGAGCTCATCCCCTTTCCTTCTACAAGGAGGTACTGCATGTACATGCAGAGCTGTTAAATTTGGTCAAGTCCTTTGAATGAATATTTAGGTCAATTGTAGAAAATTTGAAATAAGGGAAAATAGCTGGATTTAAGAGCAGAGCAGTAAAATGAAACATAAAACTCTGGATAATTAAATGCAAAAACCACAGAATGCTGAAAGCCAGGTGGCTGTGCCATGGGAGATGTCCTTCATGCCTGCCCTATTGCTGTTCTCCCTGCTCAGTGGCTGGCTGTCAGGCAATGTCAGAGAAAGGATCAGATTATGAGATGGTCTTCTCACCTGGCCCAGTGTTGCCATTCTTCTGTATTACAAAGATATGGGTGTGATAGAAAATGCTTGTTAAAAAAAGGGAAATTTAAAAATTTACCTTTTAAAGAAACATGGTTTTTTGATTGCTCTCAAATAGTATGAACAAGATGTTTAATACAATCTATTTCAAGAACGTGAGTTGATTGTGATCTGTATTTCATGTTTCCTTCACCTGTGGCTCAGTTCTCCTTTCTCACTCTTTTACACTACTTAGATACAGCAGTATTTGGTTCCAGGCACCATGTAACTTGAATTTAAAGAGAACAACAAAAAGCAGTTTTAAGTAAAATTTTCTATGACTGTTGAGAAGTAAATCAAAGCAGAAATATTTTCTGTTCAAGAAATGAAGATGGCTTTGAAAGGATCTTTTCTGCATGTGTTCGAGAACTTGTGTATTCAGCCCTGAAACTACAAAGAATCAGAGACTGTAAACATCTTATATAACTGCATTGTCCATACACCCCAAGGTTTTGCAACGTTATTTAGCTAATATATGAGATTTAAAGACTGCAATTTTATTTCGCCTTTATGGAAGCATTTGGCATCTTTGCTTGAGAGACATGTATATTGGCCATTTCATACCAATACCTGGCAGTGAGATACCCAAGTAGGGATTAATCTTTTGGGGAGGTCCCTGGAACTCCCTGCCCCTCTATCAGCTTTGTCTGTGGTACTGAGCATCACTTAAGCCTTTCTAAAGCTTAGAATAAAGTTCTGCTGAATTTTGTATACCCACAAAGAGACTAACCAAAGATTTTTTTATCTTTGTTTTTATTTTTTATGTTGGCCCTGTTTTCTGAGAGTTTGACTTTATCTCCTCTTCCCTCGAGGGTAACAGCTCTACACTGCTGACAGTGACAGTCTTAGGAATGCAAGGCCTTCTTTACCGAAAATTCCTGTCTTTAAAAAAAAAAAGTTAATTTTTGTTGAGTCTGAATTTTGTACCTCTTCTAAGGGCTATTTATTACTATGGAAGACAATGTTTTCCTTAGGCTTGTGGCTCTCTGGCAGTTTCATCCCCTTTTTAAAAAGAGAAAAAAAGCAAAGTAGAGGGGGAAAAGATGTTGAAACCCATACAGTAATTTAAAGTAGGAAAAAAGATTCGCCTCTGTCTCTGAATGCTAATAATACTTGCTTCTGAGAATTTTGGCCTATTAATTTTTTTCTGAAGCTAATAATTAGGTAGAGTTTCCTGCTTCCTTTCTAAATGCAAATGTTTGGAACTAAAAAAAAAAAATAAAAAAATCTTTGTTTCCAGCTGAGTTAGCAAATAGATACTGAGTGTGCTATGAAATGATAGGAAAAAATGCCAGGCTGCTGTTCATTAAAATAACAACCTGTAACATGACATATTAGGTACCTTAGCAGGCATTTTCTGGCTTGTTTTTCATTAAGCAGATTTTGACTGTACGGTAATTAAACAGTTAGATCTTGGTTTTGGAGAGTGCATTAACACATTGCTAACTTTAGGCTTTGGCTCCACTAGAACTTCAATGCCTGCTTTATGCTTGAAGGGATGCTTTCCTGAATAGAGACCAAATCATCAAAATACTGGAACAGCAACAGACCTTGCAGCCTGTGCAAGCCTTGTAAACATGTGGCTTCAACAGCTGTTCAATGTCTTGTTGATGGTAAAGTTCCTCTTGGATCAAACAAACAGTTCACGCCATTTCCTCTCCAACTGTCTTTTTTTCTGACCTCCTATTTGTCTCTGCTGCCAGTGAAGCCTGCACGCTCAGCCTCAGGTCAGCTGCATTCTCCTGTGTGCTCGGTGTTGGATGTGTGCCCTGCAACTCTGCCACATTGCTCTGACAGTCAGATGTCTCTCAGCTGTTTTCACTGCAGCTACTATAACTCAACCAAAATTAGCTGCTATAGGTCTTAGGCTGTGGTTTCCCTTCATCTCTCCAGAGCACAGAATGTTGATGTTTTTTCTTTGATACAAATATACAGCCAAACTTTTCTCAGCTCATTTCTGGCTCCATTGGTTTCCTGCAAAATCTAGGTCAGTGTCCTTTGTAACTGTCCTAGCTGAATTGCTGAGCTGCTTCCCCTGTGCCTTCCACCCTGCTGAAATATGCGCACTGGCCACGTTGCAGACATGAGTGCTGATTCTCTCAGCAAAAGCCAGTTATATGGAAGCATTTCCTGAACTTAGCTATTGTTTAGGCCAGATGAAATCCTTCTCCTGTTTTACCCATTAATTTCAACTACTCTTTACTTCATATTTTATTGTGTATTTCCTTTCGTCCTTGTCCTCCCCACCCTCTGGGTGTAATCACCAGAAGTGTTGTATGGTAGAGTGAGATGTCTTAGGACTGAGTAGTTGGAGAGGGAAGCTGCTGCCTCCACTACAACTGACTCTGTTTGAAGTTTGTTTTAAAAAAGTCTGAGGTTCGCAGAAATCCCAATGGTATGAGATCTGGAAGATAGTGAGAAGAAAGACAGGGCCCACTGAAACCTCAGTGACCTTCTGGCCAAAACATGTTAATGGTGTCGTCATCCATGTGGTACCATAAGGAAAGGGATTAGGCAAAATCCAGAAGTGGTATGTCTGACAGAGTAATGTTGGAGTACGAAGGGTAAAACACTTATCATGGTAGATCAGAGAGGGGTTGTTGCTCTTTTTGCTGATGCTGCTTTGGTTGCTTCAGCAGTACTAAACTCTTCAGTCACTAGTATATGGATGTTTTAAGTTGTTACTATAATACGTATTTATCACAAGTTCACAATTCTGTAGGACTGAGGGACGTGCAGTGTTATACTGCCAAGCAATCTCAGGTGCAAATCAGTAACTTCTGTAAATTCCTTTAGAGGTATCTTGATCCCAGGACAGGTTTCATGACTTCATTTTGCTGTTTTGGTTTTGTGAGTGACATTAAAGCAGCGAATTTCAGAAATGCTTACAACAATAGGAAAAAATACATTGCTTTAATGTTATAGTCCCCAACAATTCAATTCCTGAAAGGCTGTGACCTGTATACAGTTAAGGCAAAGACAAAAGCATTGACCGTAAGAGGAAAACACTTGCCAAAGAATGAGTTAAGCTCTGCAGACTCTAATACTTGTATTGCATTGATTGAAATCACTCACTTAGGCATAATTTGAGAAGTGCTCTAATGTGGTCGGAAACACCGATAAGCCTCTATCTCAGACTACTGAGATCTCCTGGTGCCTGAAATATGAAGTAGTTCAGTGACCACAAGCAGGCTGTGCTCAGAAGGCAGCTCTCTGGGGAGACAAAAGGCATAAGGACTGGCACAAGTGAAAGAGAATTCAAAGCTAACAGAAAAAAGAGGGAAAGTTGGAAAGTATTTTGAAGAGCCATTGCCCCTCACTTTCATTACAGACTTGTATTTCCCTGTCCCATTTTGCATTTCCATTGCTGTGGCTGCATTTATTGGGAATCATAACTCATCTCTACCAAATAATCTGTTCAAATGGGTTTTTAGTTTGACTTTGCAACAGATGTAAATGGAAGTATTCTCGCTTAGCTGTGGGAATTGTGTCTGGTCAGTTGAAAAATTCCACTCTGTCCTTTTAAGTAACGTTACCCTTTTCCTATCTTCACTTAAATCAGGGGAGATCACGCCCTTATCTAGCATGTGAGCGCAGTTTATTTGGTTTTCTCCTAATCTACCTGAGGTTAGCAGGTCTATAAAATGTTTGTGGAGTGTTTACACTCTTTTTTCTTATTTCAGAATGGTTTCACTCCACTGTATATGGCAGCCCAAGAAAACCATCTGGAGGTTGTTAAGTTTCTTCTTGACAATGGTGCCAGTCAAAGCCTTGCCACAGAGGTAAAAGTTTGAATTTCATACTTTATGTGTAAAATATAAAATGTGCTTCAGTATTGATTCATTCTACCTTATATCAAACTAGTTTTTTAAATACAAAATTAAAGAACAATAACAGCTCTCTCTATGAATTGTGCTAATTAATATTGTTACTGGCTTTTCAGCAGTTTAAACCATCTCTTTCCATTTCTAAAATAAAAAATTACTTTAACTAAAAACAGTTCTAAAAATAGACGCGTTCTTAGTCATAACTGGTAATCTTTCAGGTTAAGTGCTCGAACAGGGAAGCTGTGTGCATAATATAAATGTTCTCTGTGCTTTCATTAAAAATAGTGAACAATGCGATAAAGCAAGAACAACTGCGTACCTACACTTTGGAGCCAGCTGTGGGATATCAGGGAAAATCCAGGGTTACTTACTTCTGGGAGCATTTTCTGAACTGCTCTTACTGCCATGTTGATATCTTCTCTGTAGCACCTAGTTATTCCATTTGGTCCTGCACTGATAATTTCCAGCTGACAGAAAGATGAAAGTCCCTGAACTTTCTAGAAGAACAGTTTTTATTTCTTGTTTTTAAAAGTAATTCTAACTCAAAAAAGGCAACCTGGAAGGTGCTGGGGGAAGCAACTATATTAATAGTTGTAAATGTACTACATTGAGATAGGTTTTTGTCGTGGTTTAAGCCCAGCCGGCAACTTGGAACCACGCAGCCGCTCGCTCACTCCCCCCCCTTTTCCTTCCTCCCCCCGCTCCCGGAGGGATGGGGAGGAGAATCGAAGGAATGTAACTCCCACGGGTTGAGATAACAGCTCTCCAGTAACTAAGGTATAATACAAACCACTGCTGCTACCAATAATAATGATAAGAGGAATAACAAGGCGAGAGGACACAACCGCTCACCACCCGCCGACCGATACCCAGCCCGACCCGAGCAGCGATCTGGGCCTTCCGGGTAACTCCCCCCAGTTTATATACTGGGCATGACGTGCTGTGGTATGGAATAGCCCTTTGGCCAGTTTGGGTCAGGTGTCCTGGCTCTGCTTCCTCCTGGCTTCCCCTCCTCTCTGGCAAAGCATGAGACTGAGAAAGTCCTTGGTCAGAGTAAACATTACTTAGCAACAACTAAAAACATCAGTGTTATCAGCGTTGTTCCCAGACTGAAAGTCAAAAACACAGCCCTGCACCAGCTACTAAGAAGGAGAAAAAATGACTGCTGTAGCTGA